AAGCTTTCCCTGGGTATTTTTTACCGAAGCACGTGGCGCTTTCACATCGCGTTATCCAGCGTGAGTATGAAAGAGAGCTTTCGGGAAAGTTGTCACGTGTGGCGCAAAGCTCATGGAAAGCTCGTGCACATTGCCAGGAGAACAGGCGCTGTTTTGAGCTTTTATCGGAATCGTGGAATTTCCACGTGGGAAAAGTTACAGACGAAAAGTTACGGTAGACATATACACGGTATATGAAAGTTGAAATATTTTTTTATATATATTACAATCTGTCACACATAGGACATTCAGTAATTGTTTTGACATTTTAACTTCCCGAAGGAGAAGTTTATGTTTTTATAAAAAAATCCGATTCGCTAATTTTATGTTTTCTCGACGTTTCAAGCCATTCTGAACAGAATGAGAACAAATTTGGAAAAAGTATGTGTGTGTGTGTGTGTGTGTATGTGTGTGTGTGTGTGTGTGAACAGTTTTTTTGCCGTAAATCGACGTTTTCTCCAAAACGGCTGGACCGATTTCAAAAATTTAAAAGCCATTCGATGTATCTCGATGAGGACTATCGTTTCTGAGTTTTGTGCGGCGATCGTTCGAGCCGTTTCTTTGTAAATTGCAGAAAAGTGAAAAATTTTTCGTCCACGTTTTAGCCCGCAATTCTGAATCGATTTTGAAAATTCAAAAACCATTCGATAGATATTGGTTGGGAATCGTGCTGATTAGTTTTTGGTAAAGATCGGCCGGGCTGTTTTCTTGTAATAAAGTTTTTAAAAAAAAAATTTCGACGATTTTTATGATTTTTTTTTGACGGTTGATACCATAGTTTTCTAGGTCATACTAAAATATTACGGCCCTACGACAACTCGTTTAGCTTTAAAAATTCGTCAAAGTTTGCAAAAATTGGTATCGTTTTATTGACATTTGTCAAAATGAAATCTTTGATCGACGTTTTCTCAAAAACGCCTTAACCGATTTCAAAAATTTAAAAGTCATTTGATATATTTCGGTGAGGACTATCGTTTGCCAGTTTTGTGCGGCAATCTGCCAAGCCGTTTCTTTATAATTTAAAAAAAAGTGTTAAACTTTTCGTCCACATTTAAGCTCATCCTACCGAACCGATTTTAAAAAATCAAAAACTGTTCGAAAGATATTAGTTGGGAATGGTATACTGATTAGTTTTAGTTTAAAATCTACCGAGCCGTTTTCTTGTAATTAACTGTTGAAAAAAAAATTTAAGCCGATTTTTATAGATTTTTTTTTAGTGATATATACCATGGTCTTATAGAACTTACTGAAATATTACGGCCTTACGACAAATAGTTTGATTTTAAAAATTTATCAAAGTTTGAGAAAATGAGTAGTTCTTTTGAGATTTGTTAAAATTAAAATTAGACTATTTACTTGGTATAATGATAGAGTACTTGGTCTTTAATAAATCATTAAAGTCCTGAAAACTGGTTCAATTATATGAAATTTGCTTTTAGAAAATACTCCGAATCAAAGTGTTCGTTCGTTTTCAATGATGTACCTATATTATGTGTAATAAATCCACTCGGAATACTTTTAATGAATCATAAATTAATTTATTTTTTATTGATTAAGTCGATTATTTAAACATATCGGGAAGTTCATGTAACTTGCCTTAAGGCTAAATACCGAACCAACTAGTTTTATATGGATTTTTAAATGAACTCAGTAGTTGTCCAATCCAATAAAGTTGGGATAATGTCACAAAATGATATATAGACGGTGTATGTAGGTTAAGGCAAAAGGTTCAGTTTGAGTTTGAGTACTTATATTGTGGAAACCAAACCAATTATATTACAACAAATAACATAAATCAAACAAACAACTATCTGACTATGTTCAGTAAAACTCCCAGCTAATTCATTGCTGTAAAAATGTGTTTTTTGCTATTTTTTAAAAATTTGTTAAATGGCAATAAATTATCTGCTGCTTAATATGTTTTCTAAATTTTCTTTCCCAATTTTGATAAAAAATGAAGCCAATTCTTAAAATATTACATATTTTTTACTTTTATTTATTCATTTGTCAATCAAAACTCAGAGTCTTATAATATAAAACTGTTAACATAGTTATAAAAGAAGCAATCAAATGAGGTATACAATATATGATAAGTAACAAAAATTAAAAAATTAAAGAAAAATAATAAAATGAAGTAAAAAACGAGCGGTGTATGGCATTGTAACTTAAGGCAAATTGCTGGAACTTCCCGTACCGTAATGATATATTTGAGGAAATTAAATGTTTTCAAATAGATAATTATAAATACTGTAACTTATATATGTTTACAGAAAAGTAAATAAACAAAACTCAATCAATCAAATTTAAAATGAAGGACGTTGTCTAATATTTATAAGAAATATATAAACTGAATTACAAAGTTAAAATTATTTATTTCAAGTATATAAGTGAGCATTTGAACTTTAGGCAGAATTCAAATTAAAATCCACGTAGAAAGTTTTTTGAATCATTCACATCGGATGCTTAGTTCTCTCAAAAACAGATATTTTTTGCACATTTTGCTCGGTATCTCTGAAACGATTGGATCTGCCTTTGCTAAAAACTAATCATCACTTCTCCTCATCATTACAAATTGAATTTTTTTAGATCATTTAAATCGGATGTTTCATTCTCTCAAAAACTCGATTTCTATTTTTTGTACTCTTTGATTCGTATGTCCGCAATGGCTGCCTTTGCCAAACAACTAATCAGCACATCTCCCTATCAATGGGAATCGAATGTTTTTTGAACCATTCAAATCGGTTAATCCATGCCACACAAAACACACACACATCCATTTTTTCTGAGGTATGCCAAAATGTTCAGAAGCCTTCAAAACGTGAAGAAATGCAAAAATTTCATTTTCGATTTTCGGCCCATTACTATAACTTACCCTACGGAAGTTAATAAATATGAAATGAATAAGTTGCTTTTTACAACTATGTATAAGTAAACTAAAAAATGCCGCCCCAAAATAAGTGCCGCCCGGGGCGGACCGCCTCCCCCCCTAGGTACGCCTCTGCTAACAACATATAACTGTTAGCACAAAATTATGTAAAAATAAATTGTTAAACTTCAAAATTGAAATCTGTAGGTGTAGCGTCTGATATTAACTTTAATGGTTTGATTTGAAATTATATTTATTTTGGTGTTATATATCTTTAGAAAGCTGATAAAATTATCTATAATACAGTGTATAGAATTTTAAATATTTTTTTTAAAATAATTTTTTTAAATATGAATGAGTATTGCAAAAGCCTAATAAAAATTTATTAAGAATCTTATAAAAATCTATTAAGAACTTCAAAAAAATCTTATAAGAGGTTAGCTCAAATTAAATAAGAATCTAGTTAAAAAATAATATTTTTTGTAAATATATTACAAATATAATAGTTTCAATTCAAAACTTAACTTTTTAAATATAAATAAGTCTTGCAAAAGCCTAATAAAAAATCAATAGAAATCTCATAAAAATCTATTAAGAACTTCAAAAGAATCTTATAAAAATTTAAGTCAAATTAAATAAGAATCTAGTCAAATGTTAAAATGTTCTAAATTTTATCTATGAAAATTACTTGCATAGGTAATCACTTAAACGATTAAACAAGTAAACTGGTAGACAAGGAGATCATATACTACTGAAGATGCAGATTAATATGATGATTATAAATAAAATATTATAAACATATTTCTAAAAAAAATGTCAAATAATTTATTAATATTATTTGCACAAAGTTCCTGTTCAGGAAAGTAATTAAATAAAAAAAAACTTGTTTAATTTAAATATATTTTATTAAAATATATTATGTTACCTTCAAATGTTCAAAAGTTATTTAAATTAGTAAAATTGTGAAAAATATAAAATATGGACAAAATAACATTCAAATTTGTTATGAATTGCAAAAATTTATTCAAACAAAATAATAACTAGCTGTAAGTGGAATTCTGTCTTGAGGCAATTATGGCATCGTGCCTTAAGGCAAATTGCTGGAACTTCCCGTACCGTAACGAAATGTTCGAGGAATACTGAATGTTTTCAAATAGATTATTATTAATATTGTAATTACATTGTCTAATATTTATAAAAATTATATAAACTGAATTGCAAAGTTGAAATTATTTGTAAAGTATATTAGAACTATAGTCAGAATTAAAAATAAAATCTGAAATATTTTCGATATACAAAAAACTAAAAAAAAAAAAAAAAAATGGAACAAAATTTTTTTTTCCAAAATCAATTATTTTGTTAAGACAAGCAGAAAGTTCTTTGAATCATTTAAATCGGACGCTTAGTTCTCTCAAAAACTGCCATTTTTTACATATTTAGCTCCGTATCTTCGAAATGGCTGCGCCTGCCTTTGCCAAAAACTAATAAGCACTTCTCCCAATCATTACTAATTGAATGTTTTTTAGATCATTCAAATCGGATACTCCGTTCTCTCAAAAATTCGATTTCTATTTTCTGCACTCTTTGCTCCGTATCCTCGAAACGGCTGGACCTGCCTTTGCCAAAAACTAATCAGCTCTTCTCCCTATCAATAGGAATCGAATGTTTTTTGAACCATTCAAATCGGTTGATCCGTGCGCCCTAAAACGTGACTGGAAATTTGTATCCATACATACATACACACACACACACATACACACACACACATCCATTTTTTTTTGAGGTATGCCAAAACGTTCAGAAACCTTCAAAACGAGAAATGTTAAAATTTTCAATTCCGATTTTCGGCCCATTACAATAACTTACCCTACGGGAAGTTAATTAAACCTACAGCAGATATAAAACACTATTACAATTAAACAATCATTGACATTGTTTGTTTATATTTATAAAACATAAAAACATAATTCATATTGTAAATATACTTTCAAAAATTAATTAATAAATCTTTCAACTCCATTTTTACAAACATTTTTTACAAGTAAAATATTTATTCATTGCACAGCCATTTGACAAAATCCCTTTTTATTTATAATTACCTCTTGTTGTGTGTAACGATGTGCTTTTTCAGGGTGCTTAGTCGTGGAAACGTTTTATCACATACTGTACACTTATGGGGCCATACACCACTGTGAACGCGCATATGAGTTTTCAAACTACTCGCTCGTGTGAATGTATTAAAGCATATTTCACATTTGTGAGGACGAACCCCACTGTGAATGAGTTTATGTGCTCTCAAATTGGACATTCGTGTGAATGTCTTATCGCATATTTCACATTTGTGAGGCCGTTCTCCAGTGTGAATAAGCACATGTCTATTCAAAGTATTCACTCGACCAAATGTCTTATTGCATGTTTCACATTTGTGAGGTCTTTCCCCAGTGTGAATGAGTTTATGTGCTTTCAAGAAAGCCATTTCCGTGAATGCCTTATCGCATATTTCACATTTGTGAGGCCTTTCTCCAGTGTGAATAATAAGCACATGTCTATTCAAACTATTCACTCGAGCAAATGTTTTATTGCATGTTTCACATTTATGAGGTCGTTCCCCAGTGTGAATGAGTTTATGTGCACTCAAGTTACCCATTTGTGTGAATGTCCTAGAGCATATTTCACATTTGTGAGGACGAACCCCACTGTGAATGAGTTTATGTGCTCTCAAGGCAACCATTGTACTGAATGCCTTATCGCATATTTCACATTTGTGAGGACGAACCCCACTGTGAATGAGCCTATGTCTACTTAAATTATCCGGTAGTTTGAATGTCTTAGAGCATATTTCACAATTATAAGGACGAACCCCACTGTGAATGCGTTTATGTGCTCTCAAGATGGACATTTTTCTGAATGCCTTATTGCATATTTCACATTTGTGAGGACGAACCCCACTGTGAATGCGTTTATGGGCTCTCAATAAATTTGCGTGAATGCCTTATTGCATATTTCACATTTGTGAGGACGAACCCCACTGTGAATGCGTTTATGTGCTCTCAAGATGGTCATTTTTCTGAATGCCTTATTGCATATTTCACATTTGTGAGGACGAACCCCACTGTGAATGCGTTTATGGGCTCTCAATAAAGCCATTTGCGTGAATGCCTTATTGCATATTTCACATTTGTGAGGACGAACCCCACTGTGAATGAGTTTATGTGCTCTCAAGGCAGCTATTGTTCTGAATGTCTTAGAGCATATTTCACATTTGTGAGGACGAACCCCACTGTGAATGAGCCTATGTCTATTTAAAGTATCCCGTAGTTTGAATGTCTTAGAGCATATTTCACAATTATAAGGACGAACCCCACTGTGAATGCGTTTATGTGCTCTCAAGATGGACATTTTTCTGAATGTCTTATTGCATATTTCACATTTGTGAGGGCGAACCCCACTGTGAATGCGTTTATGGGCTCTCAATAAAGCCATTTGCGTGAATGCCTTATTGCATATTTCACACTTGTGAGGACGAACCCCACTGTGAATGAGTTTATGTGCTCTCAAGGCAGCTATTGTTCGGAATGTCTTAGAGCATATTTCACATTTGTGAGGCCGTTCACTAGTGTGAAAAAGCACATGTCTATTCAAACTATTCACTCGAGCAAATGTCTTATTGCATGTTTCACATTTGTGAGGACGAACCCCACCGTGATTGAGTTTATGTGCTCTCAAGATGGACATTTTCTGAATGTCTTACTGCATATTTCACATTCGTAAGGACGTTTTTCAGTGTGAATAAGCATATGTTTTTTCAAGTAACTTAAATATTTGAAACTCTTATTACATACTTTACATTTATGTGGTCTCTGTGTACTCTTACTTTGTTTTTGATTATCAGATAATTTATTCAATGTTGAATCTGTCCCTCCATTACAAACACAAACGTGTTGATCAAAATCAAATTTTACTTCAAATGCTTTATTGCAAATTGTGCATGCAAAAGACTTTTCATCTGCATGAATTTTCAGATGTATACTCTTACTTTGTATCTGTGTACTCTTACTTTGTTTTTGATTATCAGATAATTTATTCAATGTTGAATCTGTCCCTCCATTGCAAACACAAACGTGTTGATCAAAATCAAATTTTACTTCAAATGCTTTATAGCAAATTGTGCACGCAAAAGACTTTTCATCTGCATGAATTTTCAGATGTATACTCTTACTTTGTATCTGTGTACTCTTACTTTGTTTTTGTTTATCAGATAATTTATTCAATGTTGAATCTGTCCCTCCATTACAAACACAAACGTGTTGATCAAAATCAAATTTTACTTCAAATGCTTTATTTGCAAATTGTGCACGCAAAAGACTTTTCATCTGCATGAATTTTCAGATGTATATCTAAGGCGCTTGGATCTGGAAAAGTGTCTGAACAAATGGGCAATCATGACTATGTATCAGCATATGCTGTTCTAAATCACGCAGCCCTATAAATAATCCATTACATATTGTACATTCATAATGAGATGATTCAATCAACTCCTGTTTGACTTCATCTTCTATTGTTATATCGGAATTCATGAATCTCTGCACACATGTTTCATCATCTTCAGGCTCTTTTTTTTTATTTCACATTTAATGTCTTCAATTGGAAATTCTAGTGGTTCGGTTTTAACCTCCAGAATGGAATCAGAGAGAAAAACAGCCATTGTTATCTGAAATTTTATTTAATAAATAATAAAATAAAGAAAATGCATTTTCATCTAAGATGATCAAAGTAAACAGAAACTACTAAGTATGGAAATTTCATAACCTCAAAAAAGCATCTACTTTTGCAGAGCGTATGCAGATATGTATTAAAACACACTAAGATTTATTTATTTTGTCAACTAGAACTGATTTTAGTATTAAAAATCAAGTATTAATTAATAATTATCAAAAACATTTGAAACATTTGAACAGTCAAACATTCAGTACACTAAAATATTGATCGTTACAAAATAAATATAATATAGGTTTATATACGTGTAATAGACACGTATATCGGTGTATATACGTGTGAATGAATATTTTTTGATAATTATTAATATAATATAACACTTACTCCGATGTTTTTGATATTATTTTATATTTTTGTTTGCTTCAACAACTTCAACTTCGAATTTAACGGCGGCGAAATTTAAAATTATACGTGATATAGTTACATGAAAAAAGATAGATTTTAATTCAATATTAATTTAGAACGATTTCGTTTATATTTTTATTATTCAAAGTCAGAATTTCTAAATTCTTGGTAGCCTTGATAAACTTGCAGTTGAAATCTTTTTAATGTTGTCTAACCTAAACGAAGTTGAACTGTCAAAATGTCAAAGTGCGTAAATGAAACAAGTGAAATAATAAAATAATAACGAAAAAGTCAGTGTTAGTATTATAACATGCTGATGAATATCAAATATATTTATTACACGTTCACAACACATAAATTACAAGTCGTATCGACTTTTAGGAACGAAGTAATGTTTAGACATCAATTGCCATGTGCCCATAACCTACAAAAGTCAAAAATGTCTGATGAAACAAATTCAAACACAATAATCAAAATTGAAACAATCGAATTCCTCGAGTTAAACAAGAACTTGAAGATTATGAAAATACAACAGGTATTTGTATAGAGAATGATGAAATTTGTCTACAGCAATTTTTAAAATCAGAGGTTGCGGTTGAGGAGGATATAAAGCAAGAAACAGTTGATGAGCAAGATTTTAAACAAGATCCTCAAGTGAAACAAGAGGTTGATGATTATGAATGCACATCACTTATGAGTATTGAGAATGATGAAATATGCCTACAGCAATTCCTAAAATCTGAGGTTACTATTGATGAGGAAATTAAACAAGAAAAGATTGATGGGCTAGATGCTACGTCTAATACAAGTTTCAATGAAAAACCTCACATATTTAATAAAGACACCAGTAATTCAAGTAATTCGAGCGAATCATTCGAAAGCATTTCTAGAAAAAGTACAAGTGATAATTTAAAGCTTCATAAATGTGAAATATTTAATAAAACATTCCCACAAAGAGAAATTTAAATCAACAGAGTGATTCATTCCCGTAACATCCTGTTAGTTGTAAAATATGCAATAAAACACTCGCCGGAAAAAAATCATTAAAAAGACATGAACTTGTTCACACTGGAGAACGACGTTACAAATGTGAAGAATGCAATAAAATGTTCAAAATAAAGATAATTTAAAACAACATAAAATAACTCACCTGGTGAACGTCCTTACATTTGCAAAATATGTCATAAAGCATTCAAAGAAAAACGGACTTTGATTACCATGAAAGAACTCACAATGAAAAAATTTATCCTTACAGTTGCGAATATGTCATAAACAATTCAAAGCAAAGCATAATTTCCCGTAAACATCCTGTTAGTTGTAAAATGCAATAAAACACTCGCCGGAAAAAAATCATTAAAAAGACATGAACTTGTTCACACTGGAGAACGACGTTACAAATGTGAAGAATGCAATAAAATGTTCAAAATAAAGATTAATTTAAAACAACATAAAATAACTCACACTGGGGAACGTCCTTACATTTGCAAAATATGTCATAAAGCATTCAAAGAAAAACGGACTTTTGATTACCATGAAAGAACTCACACTGAAAAAATTTATCCTTACAGTTGCGAAATATGTCATAAACAATTCAAAGCAAAGCATAATTTGAAATACCATGAAACAATTCACACTGGAGAAAGTCCTTACAGTTGCCCAATATGTCATAAAACGTTCAGAGCAAAGCGGGCGTTAGAACAACATGAAGCAATTCACACTGAAGAAAACCCTTATGTGTGCAAAATATGCAATAAAACATTCACATTAAAAAAAACATTAACTCAACATAAAATTAGTCACACTGGCGTGCGTCCTTATGAATGTGAGATATGCAAAAAAACATTTACATCAAAACAATCAGTAGTTCGACATAAAATAAGTCACACTGGAGAACGTAATTATAATTGTGGAATTTGCAATAAAACATTTGCAATAAGAGATTCGTTAAGACTACATGTAAGAGGAGTACATGCTGGAATGTATAAAAAACGTTCAAAAATATTTTGAATTTGCCGGAAACTAGCCAACCATAAAAATCTTTGAATTGAACGCAATTGTTTAATAACTTACATATAAATGTTTAAATAATTATAAATATAACATTATAAATTTTTAATAGAGAAATATAAATAAAGTACATATATTTTTAAAGAAGTTTATATTTAACTTAAATAATTGAAATAAATAATTTTGACTATGGCTATTCAGTTTTGAAATGCCTATACATTTATATATGCATTATTTCATATTAGTCTTCACAATATGAGATAAGATCTTTCAATGATTTCATTGAAAAATAAAAACCTAATAATGACATGATTATTGATTTTTATTTTATTTTCACATTACCGTTATGGTAACATTTTTCGGTTTATATATATATATATATATATATATATATATATATATTATTACTTACTGCAACGACACTTGCAACTCTTTTGGATCCTTTTATCAATAATGCGATTTCACCAAAATGTGCTCCGTCTTCTAAATGACATACCTAAAATATTAAAAAACTGTTATAAAATATTATATATATATATATATATATATATATAATTTTTGAGTTCTTTGACAAATACCAAAAAAATATCTCGAATTTTCTTATTATTGTGCAATATAATCAAATATCAAATTCAAAGTCGTTTTATTCAAAACTTTTATATCGGAGTGTATAAAAGTGTTTTCTCGGAAATGTTGTAAATTTTATCTAGTTTCACCCTATCTAACCAAAAATGGATGGTTCCATATGAAATTTTTGAGTTATTTGACAAAAACCAAAAAAATGTCCCAAAATTCCTGTATTATTGCTTAAGAATGAAATATCGAATTCAAAGTCGTTTTATTCAAAACTACCCATTATTATTATATATACATAAGTTTATTCATCAAATTGTTATTATACAAATATATATTTTTAAAAATCTTGTTTCATCAAGGTATCCATTCCAACATCGTCTAGAAGAGCAGTATGCCTGACTCGTTCCATAGCTTGTTCCTGAATCCTGTTCAAGAGATCTTGGTACGGAACGATGCACTTAAGGAAGTCTTTGTATTCCAATTGGTAGACTTCACAAATTTCCAACTAGAAGATAAAAAATTAATGATATAGAAATAGAATCAAGAAAGAAATTTCCAAAAATATTCATAAATCGAGATGAGAAATAGAAGATACTGGATGGTAACAAAAATAAAAATTTGTGTATGGTAAATGATGGTGAATATATTTAAATTCACGATTTAAATAAACTTAAAATTATGATTAGATTAGATTGCAAAAAGAGTCTTTAAAAAATAAATTTAAGCTCACAAGTAATAAACAAATATGAGTAAAATTGAGTGTATAATATACTCGTATATTAAAAACTGTTTTTGCTAAAACTAAATTTATTTTGATCGAATAGTATTAAATATTTCCATTTGCAATAATTAGTGCAAAGTGCAAATTTTAACTAAACTAAATATTATTTAAAATATCAATTTAAATTTCGCGCTTTTCTGTAAAGGTCCTGTGTGAACCCCTCCACGCCCGCCGTTTAATTTTTGCAAAATCGAATTAGTTTTAAAGTTATTTTTTGAAATTAAAACCATTGCATCAACGTTAAAATTTGCTAAGCTATATAAATAACATAAATATAATAGCAGTTATAATATAATACAATAGCAATTATATAAATAATATAATATAAAATATATCAATTGTCTATTTGAATTTTGCGCATTTTGTTAAGGTCCTGTGTGAACCCCTCCACGCCCGCCGTTTAATTTTTGCAAAATCGAATTAGTTTTATAGTTATTTTTTGAAATTAAAACCATTGCATTAACGTTAAAATTTGCTAAGCTATATAAATAATATAAATATAATAGCAGTTATAATATAATATAATAGTAATTATATAAATAATATAATATAAAATATATCAATTATCTATTTGAATTTCGCGCATTTTTTCGAATGTCCTGTGAACCCCTCAACACGTGCAGTTTGACATTTGCAAATGTCGGCAAAAATAGATATTAATTAAAATGTTTTAAATAAAGTTCGTTGTGTTAAAGTCGTTATATTGTATTGATTATAACTAATTATTGATTGTTATCGTTAATTCCACATATTTAATAAGTTATTTATAAGTGACAATAGTTTTAAAATGTGTACGAGTGTTTTTAAGATCAAGGGGTAAGTTGCACAATTTAGGTTATCTTTACCAATAATTATATATATATATATATATATATATATATATATATATATATACATATATATATATATATATACAAAATTTTAAATTAAAACATATAACTCCTTCATAATAATATTGTACGAGAAACGATTGCATGATGTTACCGAATAAATTGTGTAACTAGCTGTAAGTGGAATTCTGTCTTAAGGCAATTAAGGCATCGTGCCTTAAGGCAAATTGCTGGAACTTCCCGTACCAATTTTTTTTTTAAAACGATTAACATTTTTGAAAAAAATTTACTTAAAAAAAATAAGATTTTTGAGAAACTATAAATTGGACCAAAAATTACTTTTTTTGAAAAAAAAAATTAAAAAAAAAAACAATTTTTTTTTATTTTTTTTTTTTTGAAAAAAAAAATGTTTTTTTTTATTTTGACATATTTTGGAAGATCTAAACTTTTTTTCAAAGCAATCGTACTGCTTTAACTGCATAAGGACGAAATATCAAAGCGCGTAAGCGCTGCGTCGCCGTCTAACGCGTAAACATTGGTACGGAACCCATAGGACTGTAAACCAAATTCATACTTATTGTTAAAATCTCTATAAAATATCTGATAATTTGATGTGCATATGTCTAATGATCATTTTTGACCGCCAAATGGCATTTTTTTTTACTTTTTTCATTAGATCTCCGAAACTGCTAGACCTGCCTTTATGAAAATTTGATCGGCTCTTCATCTTGTCAATATAAGTAAAATGTTTTTTGAATTATTAAAATCGGACGCTCCGTTCTCTTAAAAACTGAGTTACCGTTTTCGGCACTTTTTGCCCCGTATCTTCGGAACGGCTAGACCTCCCTGCGCCAAAAACTATTCAGCACGTCTCCTTATCAATACAAATCGAATATTTTTTGAATTATTCAAATCGGTTGATCCGTGTTCCCGAAATCGTCGACGAAAATTTGTATCCGCACATACATACATACACGTACATACATACATACATACATACATACATACACACACACACACACACATACATCCATTTTTTCTAAGGTATGCCAAAATGTTGAGAAACCTTTGAAACGTAAAGATATGCAAAAATTTTCCTTTTCGATTTTTTTGCGATTACTATAACTTGCCCTACGGGAAGTTAATTAAAGATGTAAATGAAAAAAATAATAATGTTGCCGACTAAGATATAATACATATTTTTTTAATATTGTATTTTTGGTAAAAACTTGGTTATTGATTACAATTAATTGCTTTACCATTTCCATCAAAGAGAAGAACCAAGTTTATGCATTTCATAAGAAAAATAACTATACAATAAAACATGTTTATTTGTTATATTGATAAAAACAAATTTAAATACAAAAAAATTAAATAAATTGGCATATGTAGTAATAAGAAAAATCAAAAGTTGATGGAAGTAAATTTTCAAAGAGCTTTTCCTAAACAACGTATATGTAGAAACTAATGTATGCAAAGTTAAATTTCAAATTGGTAAAAACACTAACTTGGTTTTTTATATCCCATAGGCGGGGTAAAATGGGACGACCTGGATGCAAGCAAATCCAATATTTTATTTGAAACAAACAACTATCAGGCTATGTTCGATAAAACTCCTACCAAATTCATCTTTGTAGAAATGTGTTTCTTTGCTGTTTTTTTCAGGTTTTTTTTGCCCCATAGGCGCGGTAAAATGGAACGATCAAGGGGTAAACAGGTTCAAAGTCCGATTTTAATTTTAAAGTGATTTTACAAAATAATAGCTGATTTATTCAACCGGTACAAAATATAAATTCTATGGGTGCATTTTTTACAGCGATAACACTGTAAACAACTTTGATCTGTGTCAGAAACATTTATCAGCATTGTTGGAAAAACTGTTTCATCTCTTTGAAAAAGCGTTTTTTACCTTATTTTTTTTTATTTTTTTACACCTTAGGTTAAAGGTTCAGTTGGTTCTTGGTCCTTTTGGTGTAAGCTTTTACAGAAGTTTTATGAGAAAAACTGTTGAATCTTACTTTATTTATAATAGCAATACATTTTACAAAACAATTAAATAATATATACTTAAAAATTATATCGAGGTCTCTTAAACTAAACAACAGTGCTCACGACCAAAAAAACTAACAACGTAATAAAATACTTTTGTAATGGATTTTTATACACTTTCGGTTATCTCCGAATAGCTACTTCGTAAGAATTAAGTTGATGGCTGGTTATACATCTTTTACCCTCTACTTTCAAATATTGTTGTTGAAAAATTCTTAACTTCACTTGTTTTTGACATCAAATTATAAAACTCATCAATAGGTAATTCTCTAAAAACATTATAACTTTGTAAAGTCTCAGAACTGAATGTCTTTTAATTAGATTGTAATTGAAATATGAATAAAAACGAGTGCGCGTAAGGTTCACACGCGATTGAAGTAAAACTTATTTGCTACTGTACAAGATGGCATTTAAGTAAAAATAAATACATCATATAACAATTTTGAATAATGTTTATCAGTAATATGGTAACACTTGTGATTGACACATTTATTAGTGTCGACCATTATACACATTTATATAATGATAAATTATAAATTATATATTTATAGTAGCATTAAAAATATTTATATTTACAAACAAAAATGTGATTAAAGTCATACTTTAAATATGACATGATCGGTTTGTCATTGTAATTAGCATTTAGAAATGAACCTTTATTAGAGAAATGAAGTATTTGCTGATTAATAAGTTCTATAATATTCGTTCACACAGTGGATTATGTTAAACAACGCCTAAACAAATATTGTTTTTGCAACTTCACTCATCATGTAATAATTGTGTTTGGAGAACTTCATGTAATTAAAATTAACATACATTCATTGACTGCTTGTATTTTTTTTTTACTTTTTCGCTGGCGATATAATCTCATTCTTTGAACATCTGTAACATCTGTCTTGCCTAAACAATATTTTCGATTTTATTAACTTCAAAGATTTATAGAAACTATGAATAATATAGAAATAATTTCTAATCAATAAACTTACGTTTAGTACACGGTACAAATGTTTAATTTGTTTTATTATTTTCAAGGAACAGGGTAAAATATTCTTCTGATTCAGGCATTTTTCATTAAATCAAGTTCTACTCTTTATGCACTTTCGTACGTTCTCTTAAGGGGGTTGTTCTTTTTATATTTTTCTTTGTTTCAGTTTTGAGATTTTTTGATATTATGAAAGCTAAAAACCTTAGAATTATTTAAAAAAAAATCATCTCAATATCTATTTTTTTGACGAAGTTATAGATATATTTATCTCTATATGTATGATCCTCTGAATATTGTATGCCAGCTGTCTCTTTTTCTTTATAATACCTCATGCACATGACCTTTTGAATGTGTCAGCATCTTTGAACACAATGGTGTATTTAGTACATTAAATTAAATGGTGTATTTAGTACATTATATTAAAAACTTTAAATACGTTTTTCTCAAATTTTTCAATGCGGTGTCACGAATTAAAAAAAATTACAAGTCGGATCGACTTGCATTTGCGCACAAAAAAAGAAGAAAATCACGTAATATTCTATGACTTTGTAATTTTTGTTTAGAAAAACCGCATGTCTCTATGATAAATACATTTCGAAAAAAACAAAAACAAATATCTTGCATCTTTTTGTAACAAAAAAAGAACAATCCCACAGACAAAAAAAGAAAATATTACCACAGACTTTCGAACAAGTTAACCCCACTAAATCAGTTATCGATTTTTCTACGTCACCGATCCACCCTCTATTCGACGCCCAATCGACGTCATTCAACCCTCAACCCCCGTCGTCGACCGACCGGCGGCTAGACGCTGACGCAACCCGAGTGCCTGGGCGCGGCTGTTTGCCTGTTACTTGGCGCCGTTTTGCGTTACGGAAAAGCGCTACGGCGTAGACAGGCATTTTTGACAGGGGATCGGATCGTAGACTTATAAGGGTAGTATGGAGATAAGACGGTACGGGGGAAAGATTTCATAAGAATCTTGACTCATTATATTGTGGCAAGGGCAAATAGTATATCCTTAAATAACTGTTTTAAGTAGTGATTTATAGTTTATCATATGTTTAATATTATTAGTTTTTATTGAGTTTTATATATTCGTAGTTTATATGAAGTGTAATGTATATATACAAAGCTATCTATGACCTCTTAATACTCTATTTTTTTACATATTATCTTTAGTTTATAATTTGTACACTTTAAAATATAATTATATTGTATTATTGTCTTGGGCGTTGAATAAATAAATAGATAAATAAATAAATAAATTATTACATACACATACCTATTTCAAATTTGGTCTCATTCGATTCAGAATGGCTTGAAACGTCGGGAAGAAAGACAAATTTGATTTTCTCGCGAAAACATAAACTTCTACTTCGTACTGCTTCTACTTCTACTAAAAAGATTCATTTATTTATAAATGTTTGCTTTATTTGATGTATTATTTGATATTGCCTTAGAATTGTTACTGAGTAAACAATTGAGAAAAACATGCTATTGTTAATATTTAGTTAATTTATAAACAAATGTAAAAAAGATTTCTAAATAATAAAATTATAGGATTTTATAATATCGGAATTTATTATATGAATTATATAAAAAAATCCAAAAATGTTTTCTTAACATTTTGATTTTTTTAAATTGGTGCAAGATTTGGTACAAATCTTAACTTATTATTATTATTATCAAAATCTTTTTTCTTTTTCCAAATTTGGTCTTATTCAATTCAGAATGACTTGAAACGTCAAGATAGTATAAATTTACCAAAACGGATTTTTGGGCTAAAACATAAACTTCTCCTTCGGGATTTTAAAAAAGATTTTTTTTATAATTATTGGCCTTTTATTTGAATTTTTGCCTGTAAAATATCATACTTACTCACAATAGTTACTAATAGTAAATAAATAATTTAGTAAAATATGAAATGCTAATGTTAATATTTAGTAAATTTAATTAGCAAACAAAAGTTAATTTAAAAAGTATATCTAAATAATTAAATTATAGAGTTTTATAATATTGGATTTTATTATATGGATTTTATAAAAACGAAAACATATACTTCTCCTTCGGGAAGTTAAAAATCTTTATGATATTCATGATTTTTATTGATTATTGGATTATTGATATATTTTTTAGTTACTCTGTTATTACATATATCAGCATCAAGTTAGAAATTATACGAAAAACATATTATTATCTAAAGCTTTCAAGATAATAATTATATAAAATTTATAATATTATATTATTTTAAAAATAGATAATTAAATACTTTATGTGTATTCCTATATATACAATTGTTGAATACATAAAAAAGTTGAAAAGTAAATAGGGTAGAGTGGGGCTTAAAGGTTTAAGGGTAAAACGGTCTACCACCGATATCTCAAAATTAAGTAATGTTAAGAATTTTTCAACAACAATATTTGAAAGTAGAGGGCAAAAGATGTACAACCAGCCATCACCTTGTTTCTTACAACGTTGCTGCCTAGCGATAAACGCAAATGTTTGAAAATTCATAACAAAAGTATTTTCTTTTGTTGGTTTTGAGCACTGTTGTTTAGTATTTTTAAGTATATGTTATATAATTGTTTTATGAGATGTATTGTTAATTTTAGGTAATATTCAACAGTTTTTTTATATAACTTTTATAGAAGCTTATATTGTGGGTGGAGTAAAAAGGACCAACTAAAAATTTACTCTGGCAAAATTGCAAACAATAAAAAATAAGGAATAAAAATAAAATTTAGGAAAAAAATATAATAAATTCAATAATAATTATTTCAACTGTTTCTAACAAAATAGTGTTTTTGACAAAATACAAGATCAAGGTTATTTACAATTTAATTTTGAAAAAACTGAGTCTATGTATGTCATATATTGCATTGGTTAAATGCTATATATATTAATAAATTCAATTGTATTGCTATTAAACCCTTTAAAAATAAAATAAAACATTCGATCTGTTTGAAATTAAATTTTTGATTTTTTTAATTTGAAATTGATGCTATTTTTTTGCTATGTTTTGTTGGCTATTTAAATTACACAGGAGACTTTTTAACTATATTTCAATAAGTACATTGTGTAGTAAAAGTGTATATTGCATAAAAATCATTGAAAAAACCTTATTTGCAATTTTTTTTTGGTTACGTAATACCAAAGTCAAATAAAGTTTTAGAGTTCATTTTAGAAAATCTAAAAACACGGTAAACAACCTTGATCTGTGTCAGAAATATTTTTCCGCAGAAGAATAACTATTTAATTAATTTATCCCTTGTGAAAAAGCGTTTTTTGACTTAATTTACTTTTTATTGACTATGTTTTATTGTTTTGCTATGGTAAAGGTTCAGTTGTTTTTTTTACCCCACCCAGGTATAAGCTTTTCTTAGAGGTTTATTTTAAAAGATCTAAACTTAATATTTCAGTAAAAATAGTTAATGACAAATAATTTTTTTCTAATAAAAATTTCGGAACTATTTTAAAAAGTTTAAACATAATATTTGGGTAAAATTATTTGTTACAAATTAATTTTCAAATTTATCTAACAAAAAATAATAGATATTAAAAAATAAAAAATACGTACAAAATATATGCAGATTACGTTTGGAAAAAGCTGTAAAGATCTATAATTTCTATTTTGTTTTTTGAATAAAATTATATGAATTATTAAAAGCATGAGAAGTTAATAAATTCATCAATCCTGATTCATTTATATTGAATTATCAATGTAATAAAAAAATCAAAGCTTTTTAGTCCAAGGACAAGCTCACGCCCTCGACCTATTGTGCTGTAATGTTTTCCTTCTAAGAAAGTAATTGTTAAAACCACGCAAAGTCCATCAATTAAATCCCACTAATCGATAAAACCATAAATAATTCAAACACAATATTTTTCACTTCAGATATTTTATATTTTTCCTAACGATTTCATAAATTACAATCAGAATATTAAAAATACATCAAGATCTGGCGTGAAACATTTTCTTTTACTTACTAACTAATGTAACAGTCGTTTTGCATCGTTACGAAATCCAAATTTTTTTTGTTCTAAAATTTGCTTGAAGGTTCGTACTTTTCGTAATCGGGAAAGAATTTGTACATTTTGTTGGTTTTGAACAATTTAGTTGAATGCTCGCCCTGGTGGTCTGATGGTGGTGGTGGTGATGATTTACCAGCCGTGGCCGCTGGCACCGTACTAAAAAAATAATAAAATAAATGGAATCATTTTTTTTTAAAATTCATTCGTTTATTTTAACCAGTTAACTGTTGACGAATATATTCGTCATCGTAGAATTTTGTGTATCAACGAGTATATTCGTCAGTGACCATTTGCGATTTGATTTGCAGTGTTTGAAAAATCGATATATTCTGTAATGTCAAGTTGTTTAGAATATTTTGAAAATATGACTGTATTAAAATAAATAGTCGTAAGTGGTGTTTTGCCTTAAGGCAATTTGCATAAAATTCGCGAAATATGGAAATGATTTTCATCAAAAACTACCTAATGCGATTACCAACTATTATTTTTATTATAGATACTATTTGATTTGCAATTTTTGAAAAATCGATATTTTCTGGAATTCCAAGTTGTTTAGAATATTTTGAAAATATGACTGTATTAAAATAAATAGTCGTAAGTAGTGTTTTGCCTTAAGGCAAGTTGCATAAAATTCGCGAAATATGGAAATGATTTTTATCAAAAACTAACGAATGCGGTTTCTAATTAATATTTTTAAAACAAACCTACAGAACATGCAATTGTATTATTTTAATTCAAGTTCTAAGAATGTATTGAAAAACTGGTTAATTTGAGTAAATTTTCTAAACTATTTAATTATATTGGGTTTATTTTTACTTACTTTGCCGAAACCTCCTGAGACGATTTTGGCAACTTTCACTGGATGTGAAACCTAATGAAAAAATAAACAATTAATTAACTGCTTCATAATTTTGGGTAAAATATGGAGTAGAAATAGAAATATTAGGTTTCAATCGATTTTTTAGGTTTGCTAGTCCAAATGTTCTTGGATAGTAGGATATTTCGAACTGTTCCTGTTCTATTATTTGATAGTACCTCTGTTAACCTACAAGATCAATAAAAATCAAATGAAAACGGGATCTGTTTGATCAGTAAAATCTTGATGGATACTTCGAGATTATATAATACTAAATATGGTGATATGCTGCTGTTCTAATTTACAGTAGTTGCTTCCTGTTCTCCTATTTTCCAGAGTTCCAAAATTTGCTATATTTCTTGAGGAGTATTCGAGAAATATCATTTTATCTTTTATAAACCACATTCATTTACTAGACAACATGAGATGTATGTTTTATTTAATATAGGCGGCAAAAGGCAAAACTATTTTCAGTTTGCCTTCTAGTAGTGCCACTTCGGTCACTCAAAATTTTGAGAAAAATAGGCAAATTTGACAAGTCCAAAAACTGAATAAAAAAAAAATTTGTAAGAGTATCCGAGAAATTCTTATTTTTTTATAATATATGTTTTTCTGAATTTTAATGTGGGACGATGTGGTGGTACCACATTTAGCTGTCAATCTGTGCAAAAGAATTTGCTGATCGATTTCGTAATTTTCGTTTGGCGTTTCTTGAAAGATGGAAAATCAAATAAAAAATTTTCGTCATACTTTGCCTTCTTATTTCTGCAAAGTTAAGAAGTCATCTTAAAATTACTAAAAGCTGTAAACTGTTTGGGTATCGAAGTCCGGCAATGACGAAATTAGTTCCCCAAATTTCGTTTTTCACTCTAAGATGAGAAACGCTCTGGTCGCCCAGTTAAAAATGATTGATAAGCAATTGCCTACTTTTTTGTTATCACCTACCGAATGAGTTAAAGAACTAACAAAATTAAACTGTTTTTGAGAAAAAAGCGGCCTGAATTGACAAATCGAAACCGTGATTTATTCTAATATTGTCATCACATATCTTTGACCACTCGACAAAAATTTCTGGAATTTGGTTGAAATGTTTCGCTTCATCCACCAAATTGTCCTGAGCTTAAACCATCTGATAACTTCTAGTTCCGATCTTTACAAAATCTCTTGAATTTAAAAAAAATCATTAACTATGATGGTGTCGAATTGAAGTTAGATTAAATTTTCTTTTTTTAAATAGATTTAATTTTCTTTGAACTTTTGAAAAATTAGATTTTTAAGAAATTTTGAAATTTTGAAAAAAATTGAATTTTTTGAAAACAAAATATCTGGAAAAAATGTTTTTTTTTACACCCACCTTATAGTCCTGAGCTTACATCATCTAATTACTTCTAGTTTCGATTTTTGAAAAATCCCTTGAATTTGTAAAAAATTCATTAACTATGATGATGTCAAATTATACATGATTCAGTTTCTTATTAATAAAAACCAAATCCCACAATATAGTCCTGACCTTACACCATCTTATTACTTCTAGTTCCTATCTTTACAAAATCCTTCGAATTAAAAATAAATCATTAGCTATGATTGTGCCAAATTGTACATGATTCAGTTTCTTGTTAATAAAAACCAAATCCCACAATATAGTCCTGACCTTACACCATCTGATTGCTTCTAGTTCCTATCTTTACAAAATCTTTTGAATTAAAAATAAATTATTAACTATGATTGTGTCAAATTGTACATGATTCAGTTTCTTGTTAATAAAAACCAAATCCCATCATATAGTCCTGACCTTATAGAATCTGATTACTTCTAGTTCCTATCTTTACAAAATCCTTTGAATTAAAAATAAATCATTAACTATGATTGTGTCAAAATGTACCTGATTCATTTTCGTTAATAAAATCCAGTTAATTGTTATTAAATTAGGATAATGAAGATGTGTCCGTAAGATGGCATATGGTTATTGATCAAAATTGACAATGATGAGAGTTTCATGAGAAAAATATCTTTGATATTTCAAAACAAATCCGCACTTATTCAGTTTCCAGTATCTATTAATTTTGATGGTATGTATCTTGATGCAAAAAAATCCCAGTCTCTGGTACTTTCAAAGTTGCGTAAGCGCTAATGGTTCTTGAAATGATAACCGTGTTTACAAATATAAATTTGTTTTCAAATATCGATAATTAATAATATTTATGAGTTGCACGAACGCCAATTTGCATAATGCTCGCGACGTTATCGGTACAAATTACCATTTCGTATCGGATTGCAAGTTATTCATAAATCTTTATCGCCTCAATCAATACTTTTCCTTACTCGATTAATTTATTGGCACAAATTACTATATTAAAATTCCAGTCCAATATGAATATTTTTAACCCACATACCCTTGTGGGCTCGCCCGTAGGTAAGTGGTTAAGAGCGACGGGACTTGTTTCAGAGGTCCCGGGTTCGATACCCACTTCGAGCAGGCTGTTGTCAGGCAACAATGACAACTATTTTCCCTTGGAAATATAAATAGCAATATGTTTCCAAGTGAAAATAGCCCTCACCCGGCATTATTGCACCATATACATGCCCTATTATAGAGATTGTAATAAAAAAAATTATCATACAGAGATGTGACAACTGTTTGGGTTGCCATCTGTAATAAAACAAATGTAGTTTGTAAGATATTGATCACAACAGCTCATAGAACCCATAAGTTCTGATCGCTGTTCAAATAAAATTATAACTAGTTGGTTTGGTATTTAGCCTTGAGGCAAGTTACATGAACTTCCCAATATGTGTAAATAATCGACTTAATCAATAAAAAATGAATTAATTTGAGTGATTATAAGTATCCCGAGTGGATTTATTACACATCATTGCAAACGAACGAACGAACACGTTAACTCGGAGTATTTTCTAAAAGAAAATTTTCAAAAATCAATTATTTTAATTAATCAATAATTATAATTAAACCAGTTTCCGTAGGACTTTAATGGTTTACTATATTCAAGACCAAGCACACTATCGTCATGTCATACCAACTAAATCATCTAATTTTATTTTTAACAAACGTCAAAAAAAACTACTCATTTCCTCAAACTTTGATGAATTTTTAATATTAAACTACTTGTCGTAAGGCCGTAATAATTCAGTAAGTTCTATAAGACCATGATATATATCGCCAAAAAAAGTTCCATTAACATTAAATTTTTTTTTTCGACAGTTAATTACAAAAATCGGCTCGGTAGATTTTCACCTAAAATTAATCAGTACCATTCCCAACTAATATCTCTCGAACAGTTTTTGATTTTTTAAAATCAGTTCAGCAGTATGAGCTTAAATGTGGACGAAAGGTTTAACACTTTTTTACAAATTACAAAGAAACGGCTCGACCGATCGTCGCACAAAATTGAGAAACGATAATCTTCATCGAGATACATCAAATGCTTTTTAAATTTCTGAAATCGGTTCAGGCGTTTTTGAGCAAACGTCGATGAAATTTCTAATTTTGACAAATGCCAAAAAGACCATACTAATTAAAAAACCGTAAAAATGTTAAATTAATAAAATAGCAATAAAAAAAATTAAAAAAAAAATATATGGTTGTACAGGCGATCAAATGGTCAGACTACATAGATAAAGGATAAGGATTATGCAAGAAAATAGTTATTGAAATCAAATTGAGAAAATTCAGTAATGTCATAAAAAGCTATGTCTTTAAAAAGTTTAACTAGGGAAGCATGAAATTTTTGCTGTCTAAGTTTCGGATATTGAGTGGATGTTTGTTCATAAGCTGAATACCTAGAACGTCGATCGTATTGAAAGAGCTGGCTAATTTATATGTAAGCGCCTTAATAACTTTGTGTCTAGTGTTGTAGTCACACACACATACTTTTTCCAAATGTTGGTCTCATTCGATTCAGAACGGCTTGAAACGTCGAGAAAACATAAAATTAGCAATTCGGATTTTTTTATGAAAACATAAACTTCTCCTTCGGGAAGTTAAAAAAATATCATACAGAGATGTGACTGACAACTGTTTGGATTGTCATATGTAATAAAACAAACGTAGTTTGTAAGATATTGATCACAACAGCTTATAGAACCCATAAGTTCTGATCGCTGTTCAAATAAAATTGTAAAAAAAAACATACCCTTGTGAAAGTGGAGTAGCTGCTGGCGTGTCCGTGACCGCCGTCATAACCTCCATGTCCTCCGTAACCGGCGGCGAAACCTCCGTCGTGTCCGCCGAATCCAGCGTGACCGATGAATCCTCCGTGACCAGCAAATCCTCCGTGACCGGCGAATCCTCCGTGTCCAGCTCCATGACTTGAGTGGGCTGCCAAGGCTGCGTGACTTGCAGCAGCATGACTTGCCTGTTGGGCAGCTGCTTGGGCAGAAGCAATGATTGCGCTGGCTGCATGCGCAGCAGCGGCGTTTTGTGCAGCAGCTGCTGCTTGAGTCTTAGCGGCAGCGGCTTGGACTTGATGCGCTGAAGCGGCGTAGGCTGCGGCGGCTTGTTGAGCTGCTGCTTTCTGGGATGCTGCTGCGGCGGCTGCGTCGTGGGCAGCGGCTGCGGCTGCGTTGCGGGCTGCTGCGGCGGCTTGGTGTTGGAAGTTGGCGGCTGCTGCGCTGTTGGCGGCGGCGGCGGCTCCGTGGGCGGCATCGGCGGAGTGGGCGCCGGCGTGGGCGATGCCTGCTGCTGCGTTGGCTGCTGCTGCTGCTCCGTGGTCGACGGCGGCGACTGCTCCGTGGTCAACGTATGAACCTATGAAACCGCCATGATAACCACCACCATGACCACCATGACCTGGGGAATAGTAATAAAGGATTACCTTCAAGAATGACAGGATTACTTTTAAGGAGTTTGCTTATAATAATGACATACTATCACATTTTATGTGATAGTATGTCAGTAGTACTAATTGTTTTAAATTTCAAATTAAAGTGGTACTCCGATTTAAGAGTAACCTGACATACAAGTGTTTCGAGATACGAGCCGCTACAGGAGCCATTCGTCGGTACGACATACTGTCAAAATTTGAGATACCAACTTTGAACGAGTAAGTAAATTTTGTCAGATGTAACAATGATTATCCTACCATGAAAATATTTTGGTGGCAAGCATAGCTCACTTGGTAGCGCGTTCGATTCACACGACAGGGATCTTTAGATCGAATCCTGTCAATGACTTAGAATTTATGAGAAAAACAATTATAGTTAATTTGAAATTAAATGAAAAATGTATTTGTTAAATAGAATAAAAACTAAGAAAAATAGGCATTACAGAATTCGAAAAGCTGAATTGTATTAGGAGTAAGAAGAAAAAATATATGAATTTGCTGAGATTACAAAGAAGAATGAAGAAGAAAAAATGTAATGAAGATAGAAGTTGAATAGAATTAGAAATTTGACAGAAAGCAGCAAAAATTGAAGAAATTAGCAGAAGAAGAATATATAACAGGATATATATAGAGTGAATATATGATAAAAATTCGTATAGAATGTAAATAAATAAAAATCTTGTAAGTGGCTAAATGCTCAGAGTAATTGAGGCCAAATAAAAAAAAATATTTGGGCTTAAATATTTTATAGTTAGTCATTTCAATTATATATTAACACTAATTGATGATTATTTTAACGTTTGCAATTTTTACAATATATTATTAGTGATTGCACAGTTCACTCAACATATATGAGTTAGCTATTTTTTGTTTCTGTACATTTACAAAATATTATTTACTTTTATACCCATGGCTCCAAAAAAAGAACCAAGTCTCTTGAATTAATGCTTGAAATTATTGAAAAATATGAGGATGGCGAACGTAACACATAAGTATGTTTTGAACAAAAGAAGTTAATAAAGGGTATAACTACTAAAATACTACTATTATATAATATTAACTACTATTATATAAAATTTACATCCCAGTCAAGTAGGGATTTGCCAAAGGAGTGTGAAAATTTGAAGAGTTAAATGCATTTGTCAAATTTGCATTAATAACAATCGAAATAAAAAGCAAACTCAAAAAAATCTGAATTCAGTTCAAACATTTACTGACTCAAAACGGAGCAAAAGATACTTCAAGTAGTAAAATGACTTTTATGAAATAATGAAATGAAATTTTATGAAATAGAGATTTGTGGTAAAAATTAAAATAAAAACATTGGCCCCAAAATTTAAAAAAAAAGTATTAGAGGTGGACGACCCTTGATAGGACTAATTTGTTTTTACAAGTTGTTACAAAGGGCTTAACTTCATAATTTATCGAATTAATAATTAAAGCTAATTATCGAATAATTAAAAATTAAAGTTCAAATTTGCAAAAAGTGAGGGGCTATTTTAATTTGCCTTCAGAATTCTGCAAAGGGCAGTATTCTCATTCATGACGTATTTTTTGACAGACATTTGATGGGCAGTTGGCAGTGATTTTATTATTAAGTAATTATGAAGAATCAATTTACTTTATCTATACTTATTGAAAACGCGGGTCAATCCGGGACAAAAGATCTAAACCCGGGATAGATATCGCTTTTAGAAAGATTTTAAACCCGGGACACAAGGTGGAAATCCAGGACATAGAGTCACCGAGATACCAGTGTATTTGTATACAGAAAACTATTATTCATCAAAAAATGTATCTATTTATAATAACCAAATTATTTTGCTAACAAGAACAACATTATAACTCATTTACAAATATGGTCTTAATGAGTCTTTTCTTCAGTCTTTTATCCCAAGTCTTTTATCGCTCCGGTCCTGCCGTTGACATGTGTCTCAGTACAGGAATGTGCCCTACTTCGACAATATGAAACAAATATTTTTATCCTGGCGTTTGACGGCTTTTGAATTTTACACGGCACTTATTATGTTATGTTAGTAGAAAATGAAAGTTGATTTATTATTATTTACCTGCTCCGTAGTCGTAATCGCCATATCCTCCAGCCATGACGGCTGCGAAGAGGGTTACTGTAACAATCTGATATAAAAGACACAGAATTAGATAGAAAATTATGCAACTGGTGAATAAGTTATGTAATATATGTATATATATATATATATATATATATATATATTATATACACGATGTTGGTTGGCGATATACGCCTGAACTACTGAACCGATTTTAAATTTTATTGGCTCTTCGTGTACGTATATATCCAACTTGGGTGATAGGCTATATTCAAAATCTCTTTTAACCCTTTTCACCCGCAAATTTCGGAATTAATTTATATTTTGCCGTCGGAGTGGTGACATCCGAGTGGAAAGTGTTACTATTAGAAATATATATTAATTTAGGAATTTAATAAATTTTGTAAAATGACAGTTGTCAATATGTATTATAATTTTAAGATTTTTTAAACACAATATAATATTTAGATTTTTTAAAATTTGTAGAATATTTCTCGACACAAAATCTGCAGTATTTTGTTTCATCATTTTTAAATTTTAATTTAATCTATCTGAATATTGATGGTTATTATCATCAAAATACTTAATCTAAAACAAATTATTATTGATTAATAATCTAATTCAGAAAATTGGAAAACGTTTAATATATATTTTAAAAATTGACAAATTTTCTCTTACCAAGTTTCTACAATACTTCTAAAATTTGTTTATTGTCGTATTCAAGGATAAGTCTATGAGGATTTCATTTCAATACTTCTAAAATTTGTTTATTGTCGTATTCAAGGATAAGTCTATGAGGAATATTTGGCATGTTTTTTAAAATATTTTCTTTTGATTTGATTTTATATTATTAATAAAATATATTAGCTTACCAAAGGAATATATAAATAATTTACAATCATATTCAGGAAATTAAAAATCCTTTAATATATATTTCGCAAATTTCATATGTTTTTGAAATAAATTTTGTCATTTGCTATCAAATTATTAATAAAATATATTAGCGTCCCGAAGGTGAAGTTTATGTTTTCGCCAAAAAATCTAACGACGTTTCAAGTCATTCTAAATCGAATGAGACCAAATTTGGAAAAAATAACGTTTTGCCCAAAATTGCTAAATTTCAATTATTATTGAATGATGAAATTGATGAAAGTTGACTAAGAAATTCATGCAACTTGTTTTAAGAAAAATTGCTACTTATTTTTGTTCAAGAATACAAATGTATATTGTATATTTTACAAAAAATATAATTTTAACTTTTTTGATACCGCAAATTTTAATGAACTTTGTTAATAAATTAAAAACTAAGGAATTTGATATTGATAGACAATACAATCTTTCTTTATAAAATATATTTGTTTTAGAAAAAATTTACTGTTTTGATATCACGATAAAAAAGCTTTACATATATATTTTTTTTAAAATCAAACAACCTTACATATTTCCATTAATTTCAAAAGTTATGAGCTATTAAAAATATTTGACATGATTTTTTTTCAAAAAATAGCAACTCTAACCATTTATGGAAATGACCAAAAAATATTTTTTTAATAAAAACGATACTAACAATTTTTGGCACTTAGAAAAATTATTACCATAAAATGGAATTTAACAAGATTTTCATATAACAACTTTGCTGACATTGCTGACCCACTTATCAAAAAAAAAAATATTAATACAGTGATTTATTTGCCCCCAAAAAGTTATTTTCACTAGATACCATTGATGAGATCTATGATAAGTATAAATCTGAATTCATACTGCTTGAAACCGAGCTGTCCCAAATTAATCATAAATTAATTTATCTTTTAACACAGTATTAGGTATTTACAAGAGATTAAAATTTATGAGTTTTGCAATTACGTGAAAAAGTTTCCGATATGTGCTTGAAGTTTCCGATATGTGTTAAAATTGACTTGATCATCCGATTTAGGTAAAATTTTAACTGGTTTTCACCAAAAACTTTTGAGCACGATTTCCAACCAATATCTCTGAAATAGCCTTAGTAAATTCATTTCCAAAACGTGGACAAAAAATTGTTAATTTTATGAAAGTGGCACATTGCCTCATGGCAAGTTGCATGAACTTCCCGATGTGTGTATAATTGTCTTATTCATCCGATTTGATATTTAGGTAAAATTTTCTGGTGTTCACCGAAAACTTATGAGCACGATTCCCAACCTAAATCTTTCGAATAGTTTTTAGTAAATTAATTTCCAAAACGTGGACAAAAAATTGTAAATTTTTCAAAAGTGGCACATTGTCTCATGGCAAGTTGCATGAACTTCCGATGTGTGTAATAATTGTCTTATTCATCCGATTTGATATTTAGGTAAA